TGGATTGACTCGGTGACTGGGGTAATCGGGATGGGTGTGTCAGAGGCAGTGCTGTTGGCGCAGGATAGAGCAGGGTTTAGGGCTGTTGTGCATAGGGTCGCTATGAGTCGCAAACGACTCAACGGCACATAACAACAACAACAAGCATTTTACATTCATTATATGCTCAAGTCTTAAAACGATTTTTTCAAATAAGGATTACTATATGTCCTATATTGTTACAGCTGCTGTATAGTATTGAGTCAGAACCAACCCATAGCTGACCCTCCAGAGAGTTTTAGGAGGCAATAGATAGCACAGTAGGAGATTGCCCATGTTTCTCCTACAGAGCAGCTGGTGGATTCAAACTACATACCTTTGCAATTGACAGCACAATTCCTTACTACAACGCCACCAAATTCCTTTCTCCTATATTATAGATAAATGAACTAAAATGTATGCAATAAGAACTTTATTGTGTAGGGGTAATTTATTCTTGAGCTTGTGTCTGTTTGAATTCAAATATCAACTGCTTAGGTATCTGCTTTGAAATATGTTCTTTGTTAACTACCTTAGCTCTTGTTGTTAGGTACCATTGAGTCAATTATAACACAAACAAATAGACAATAGATCAAAACTTTACACTATCCTGCATCACCCTAACAATCTTTGCCAAGCAAGAACACTATTGCAGTCCCTGTGCCAGTCCATCTCATTTAGAATCTTCCTTTCTTTCACTGGTCATCTACTTTCTCAAGCATGATATCCTTTTCCAAGGACCTGTACCTCAGGATAACATGCCCAAAGTATGTGAGATGACATTTCACCAACTTTACCTGTAAGGAATTCCCTAGTTGCACCTCCTCTCAAGACAGATTTATCTGTGTTTTGCTTACACCATGCAATCTAAAGGCATCGATTCTTCTTCAGTCTTCCTTTTTCATTGTCAAACATTTATGTGTATAAGAGGCAATTTAAAAGGCTTGTTGTTATTGTTATTGTTGTTGTTGCTGTTGTTGATTGCCTTCAAGTCAAGCATGACTCATAGTGATTCTACGTACAAAAGGCTTGAAGCCCCTCTCCAACTATCGCCATTTTTTGAAGTTCATAGGGGTTTCCAGAGGTGTGTTATTTAGGAAGGGGATGCCACTCCAAAAGGCTTCAATTCTTCTTCAGTCTTCCATATTCATTGTCAAACTTTTACATGGGTAAGAAGCAATTTAACATGGTTCTAAGCACCATGATTTGGTGGTTTGAACAACACAGTCTTATTCTATTCTAGTCAGAAAAGAATATTAGGATGGAAGTCAGAAGTCCAAAACCAGCTTCACTGAGCTAAAGTTCATGTGTGTAAGGACGCTTCAAGAGGCTGTTCGTCATACTTAGATTATGGCCTCCTCCTTGTATCACCCAAATTATTGCTTCCGTTGTCACATGCTGTATTCCTTTTCTCCAATTGTGGTGTTAGCCTAAAAGTTAGCTTTTTAAAGTCATTATAGTTAACCTCCTCTAGTCACCAGCTACTTTAACAGCAGACTCATGCTCTTGCAAATCATCAACAGCTGAGGGATAAGGATAAGAGAAAGAGAGTTTCTCATACTAGGCATTAAGACTTGAGGCTATCAAGAGTAACTCAAATGGAGTTATGAGGCTTAAGAGGGAAGGATTAAATAGCCCCTGTTTTTCCTGTAATGTAGGAAAAAGGCATTATTAACAGACAGGACAAAAAGTCAATTGAAACTTAAATGACAAGGTTAAAGATTTGAAATAGATACACCCAGGAATGAAAGAGGAAATGGACCAGAGATAAAGATAGAATTGCTCTTACTTGAAATCCTATAAATGTATTGAACAAAAAGTGTAATAGTTTTATGATTTTTCCATTCTTCCCAATAACCTTATTGCAGTCAAGATGCAGATTGTATGCAGGTTTTCTGTTGCATGCTATTTAAAAATATAAATGGCAGACCTAGTTAAAGGCTACTCACAGCCCACATTACATTGTTGCTAGGTGCCTTTGAGTCAATTGTTTATTCATTTTGATCCATTGTGAGAGAGATGAACTGCCTTACAGGATTTTCTAGGTTGTAATATTTACAGAAGCAAACTGCTAGGTGTTTCTCCCACAGAGCCATGGGGTAGATTTGAACCTCCAAACTGTTGCTTAACGACCAATCTGAACTATTGTGGCATCACTCATAACCCCTCCAAAATAGTTTGTATGCCCATATAATGTGCTATTCTTTTTTGGTAAACAGTACAGGACGATAGGCAATGTGGCAAGATGAATAAAGTCTCCACCCTCCAAGAAAGACGTCTACATCTTAACATCTGAAGCTGGTGAATGTTATCACTATGACAAAGGAAAATTTGCAGGTGTGATTAAATTAAGGACCTTGAGGAGGCAAGGAAATTATCTAGGTAGGCTGTTAATGTGATCCCAGGAGTTCTTTAAGAGGAAAGCAGAAAGAGATTTGACAGCTGCCTAAAGAGATGAAAATGGGACATGGAGGCACAAGGCTATGAGTGTCTTTTTGAAAGGGCCAGAGAGAGTGAGAGTAACAAGGCCAACTCAGAACAGAAAGCAGATAAAGATATTGTAGCCCAGTCTTATGGTACCTGTAGAGGCCCACCAGCAGTAAGAGGTTCATTATTTGTTGTTGACTCACAGACTCACTGTTGTGGTACCGAGAATGAGTTTTAATAGAGAAGTAAGTTGGAGAGTGAGTAAGGAAAAGAATAACACCGAATTCAAGTCCAGGTTTTAGCCCAAGTTAGTCCAGGCTGTGGTTTCAGTTTAGCAGTCAGCTCCAAATCATCCGGCAAAGTTTGCCTCAGAGCAGTTATAAGTTACTTTCTCAGTTCAAACATTATAAGTCACCTTAGTGAACGTTACCCTTTACTAATAAGAATCATGAGCACTTTGTACCTGATTTTATTAAGGTATATGCCACACTGTATCAAGTATGTTTAATATTTGTTTCCTCTGCCAAACCAGGAGATTCAACACATCACATATAAACCTGAGAGTAAATGATATGAGGATTGGTGTTTAAAGATGGTAATTACATCACCTGTCTGAACACATACAGTTATAAAACTTAACATTTTTTAACTGCCCCTTCTAGGAAACCTCTTTTTTCATTTTCACTTCTGAGAAGTAGCCTGCTGCTTTTTTAAGTCTCTAACAAACTGTTTTGAGATTGTATTTTCACATCACGATATAGGTGATCATTTGACAAAATTTTAGGTAGTCATTTGAGAAGTCTCCACCTAAAGTTAGGAGCATTCAACTTGTGGCATCTAAAAACAACAACAAAGTTAGAGAACATTGGACTTAATAGCTTCCAACAAGAAAGCTGTTTATTATTATAATAAAATATTTTAAATTATAGTAAGTTTAACATATCTACCTTGCAAACTAATGCAAGGAAGTATTATCTGCTTTAAAAACTTTAAATATATTAAAAACTGCTAACAAAGTATTGATTTATTAATGATAATAAGTAGTATGCATAACAAGAATTGTGCTGTTGTTAGGTGCCATTGATTCAACTACAACTCGTAGTAACACTAAGAACAATAGATTGGAAGCATGTCTTGTTTTCAGAGCTCATAGAGATTAAAACTGATTAGTTTAATGAATGGGAATTTTTAAAAAAATAATAATTACCTTCACATACAGGAGATTCAGGATACCAACCAAAATTATAGCACTGAATTAAATCAGACCCACTCAAATGGTAATTCTCATGACAAAAAAACTGGACAACATCTCCCTCTTCATAGGTTTTCTTTACAGGATAAAAATAACCATTCTCTATTAATCGTAAAGAAGAGCACTGTAATTCTGAAAATAAAAAATAATAAAAACACATCAATATGTTTTTCTTTTCCCAAATAGAACAAAATTTACTCACTATACAAGTAGTGTCTGAAATAGGAAATAATAGCTTTTTGATAATCTGTTAGATGTAATAGAATAATATTCATTTATTGTATATAGATATAAAAATCAAAGTCTTTCAGTTGTGGTGTTGGAGAAGAGTGCTGAACATTCCATGGACTATCAAAAGAACAAACATATGTCTTAGCTAAAGTAAAACCAGAGTGCTTCTTGAAGGAAAAGATGACAAAATTTTGTCTCACATGTTTCGATCATGTTGCTAGGAGAAGCTGTTCCTTGGAGAGGGACATCATGCTTGGAAAGGTGGAGGGTCAACAAAAGAAAAGAAGATTCTCAACCAGATGGACTGACAGAGTAACTGTAGCAATGGGCTCCCGTGTGTCATAAATGAGGACGGCCTTTGGTAGGACAATAGTTCTGATCCATTGTTTATAAAATTTTACATAAATGGCAGAAAATGGGACATGGGGGTTCAGGGCTGTGAGCATATTTCTGAAAGGGCCAGAAGGAGTGAGAATAGCATGCCCTCTCACTGCTCCAGAGCATAAAACAGCTCCAGAGCCCATAGCCCAGCCCCATGGTGCCTCTAGAACCACACAAACAGCAAGAGGTTCATTTATTTGTTGCTGACTCACAGATTTTACTAACAACTGTGGTAAAGAGAATGGGATATATTAGCGAAATAAGTTGGAGAGTGGGGAAAGCAAAGAAAATCACCAGTGCAAATCCAGGTTTTAGCCCAACAATCCTACAGCTCAATTCTTCCGTTAATCCAGGCCTTGGTTTCAGTTCAGCAGCAAAAATACAAGAAGCCTCTGATTTCTGTAATCACCCAACAAGGTTTGTGTCAGAACAGTTTTAAATTGTTGTTGTTGTTGTTGTTGTTGTTGTTGTTGTTGTTGTTATGTGCCGAGTCGTTTGCGACTCATAGCAACCCTATGTACAAGAGCCCTAAATGTCGTTCTATCCTGTGCCAACCCCGCTGTCTCAAACACATTCATTCCCACCACTCCACTCAGAGTCGATCCATCTCATCGAGGGCTTTCTCTCCTGTGCCAGCTTCTCCTTAATTATCTAGCAAGGACAACAAAATCTTTAACTGGGGCCTTATCTCAGGGCTCCTCTGATTATACCTTGCCATAGTTTGTCCACAGCAATGCCACAGTCTCTCTACCACCTTCACCAGGGTCTCTCTCTCAGCAGGGTCTTGCTCTTCAGTGTGAGAAGCATTCTCTCTTTCCCTCTTACCTTAGTCCTACAGCTGTTGATGATTTGCAAAATCATGTGTCTGAAGTTAAGGTAGCTGGAGACCAGAAGGGGCTAAGGCAATGACTAAAAAACCAACGTTAGGCTAATACTGTAGGTTTCTATGAGTCGTTTTCAACTCAACAGCACTTAACAACAACAACAGTATATCTAGCTATAACTTTATTATTTTAATTGAATTATGCAAACTGAAAGGAATTAGCCTTAAGAACTTCAGGTAATAAAACAATAATTACAAATTAATAATAATTATAACAAGAAATAAAAATATATATGAAAACTGGAGCAAAATCAATATGAAAATAGACACAAATGGGAGAAAGTTTAAAAATAAAAACCTACTGGTACATTTTGGTGAGAGAGACCATCCATGGGTGTGACATTCCACTTCCTCAATCTTCTTTCCTCCAGCTGTGTAGTAGCCAGTTGCACATTCATATTGCACTTTATCATTCACATTGAATGTTTTCTGTGTTGTGGAATAATTTCCATGATTTAATTCAGGGGCCAAACATGTTTCTAAAAGAAAAACACATAAAATAATTTGCCTGACCATCTCTATCATGGAATATTCTATAAAGAGTCACACTAGTAACCCAAAGGCCTCTTGTCTCCAACAATTCTAATCTACTTTCTAAGGGAGAAAGATGGAAAATTTCTTCCCATACTACCTACAGCTATTGAAAACCACTGAATTTCCAAAGGTGTAAATCATATTTAGAGGATATTTTGTTTGCTTTTATAAAAGAGTAAACCTAGATTATTAGTAAGAAATCTCAAAGTACATTTTCATGCAATCTTAACGTTATACAAAAGAATCAACCCTAGATATAATTGCAAATATTGTTTTTCTTTATGTTTTCCCTTTTCCTTCTTCCCTTCCCCCACTTTTTGTTGTGATATGTGGAATCAAGTCCCCTGCAACTCACAGCAACCCTAGGTACACTAGCTATGAACCCTGCCCTATCCTGAGCCAGTCTCACTGACTCCAACACACCTAAACTCATTGTCCCAGTTACTGTGTCAATCCATCTCATCTGGGGTCTTCCACTTCTGGGCTGGCCCTCCACCCTTCCAAGCATTATGTCCTTCTCCAAAGACTGGTTCTTCTGGCTAGAGCAAACCAAGGTAAACTATTTGGACATTTCTAAATTGTGTTAGCAATCAAGAGTAAGCTGATTAACTGTATCTGATCTCATTTACAATCAGCTTGGGTGGGAAGTCTCTGTGTGGGCAAGCAGGATCTTGTGGACAGGCCTTGGTATTTAAAAATCAGTTGGGCCCAAGGGTGACTTCTACTGACTGTGTTTTAAAAGAACATTGTTCTAAGTGGTGTAGCACTTTTCTGTCAGTTTGCTGCATTGTGAGTACTTGGAGTTGCTGTGACACTGAAATCTTTGCCACTTGTGTGTCAAACTCCAAAAGGATCTCCCATTGTGGGCAGGTTTTGGTGGAGCTCCCTGATTAAGACAAACTAGGAAGCAGGATGGGCCCTCGACTTCCTAAAGAAAAGGCTTTTGAAAACTCTATGAACACTAAACAAAGTGGATATTTATAATAGTGTATTGGTAGAGCCCAGATTGAAAGTTAGTTGAAATGAGAAAAACCAATAACATATCTTTTAATAATTAGAACATGAAATGTTCATAGCTTGACTGTTGGAAAATTGGATATTGTTAAAAATTAACAAGAACACATGAATATTGACATACTACTCATTAGTGAATAATCAATGACTTACTCAATGCAAATATGTTTTTTAAGAGACATAAACGCAGGTTATAGACATGGACTTCACCTGATAGTATACATAGGAATCAGATTGATTACATCTGCGGAAAGAACTGCTGGAGAAGCTCAATATCAGCTGTAAAATCTAGGCCAGGAGCTGATTGTGGAAGAGACCACCAACTACTCATATGCAAGTTCAAGCTGAAGCTGAGGAAAATTAAACCGAATCCA